CTAAAGGTATCTGCAGTAGTATTGGCGGTTGAGGGAATTAAATTTATGCCTTGCAACAGAGTAAGCGAAATAGTCGAAAGAAAAACCACTTTTCGAAAATTTTTTGAACAACTTGTTTTTCCTATTCTTGTAGTATTTAATTGTCTTATTAAACCACGGGGGATCCTTACTTCGAGGACGGGACTGCTTGATCGGAACGGATGCAGAAATAGCTTGATTTAATGAATTGTAAAACGATGACAATAAGCTTTCAATACTACCGGTTGAGAAATCAAGCCTCAAATGTGAAAAACAATGTTTTAGCAATACAATATTGATTTTATGACAATCATTTTATTTATTTAAAAAAAGTTTGATTTGGCACATTAAGGTATTTCAACGAACCATCATTCATATGATGAAAGGAAATGCATATTGATGGATGATTAGGATCCTCAGGTAAACTAAAAGGTGGACAACGATTTACGGTAATCTCGGGAAAATTGGCAAAGTAGGGATCAAGCAGTCTACCATTACAATTAGGGGTACGATTATATTGACCTAAATTATGATCAAACAATTCACTAAAGAACACAACAGCCCTATCAGACGTTGAAGTAGGAATCAAACAGCCAGAATTATCAGTGTTACACCAAGTGACTTGAGGCAAGTTGAAGTCACCCAATGTAACGACCGAATCGGTGGGTCTAGACAGCTTGGCCACTTCACAAATGGGGCAACGTGTTTCTTGTAAATGGAGATATCAGAATTTGGGGGAATATAGGAACAGTTTATAAATAGATGCGTGCTCACAGAATTTAGAAAAGTAGAACGAATTTTTGAATTTAGGTCCCTAACATTTTGATAAATGAGAGATAATGGGCCTGAAGAAACTTTTAGTTTTTTGAAGGCGACAAGACTATTGCTTTGGTATTACGGGGCGATCTCGAGGGATAAATTCCTTAATTAAGGATCCTACTGGCCACAGTGGTTTGTTTAAAAACATATACTGTTTTCAGTCGGAACTAATATTTTAAAAGAAGAGATTGCCCTAGATTGAGAAGGAGCCAGTTTGAAGATGCTAACGCGCTTTAAGTTGACTGATGGGACTTTCGCCGCCAGATAACTTTTTATGTTATCCACCGATGTTTCAGGTGCCAGTCTTGACACAAATATTGCTTTTCTGGGAGGAACAAATGTCATTAGTTGGAATAGGAGGGGGATTCACGATAGGAGAGTTTAGAGTTGGGGAGAATATAGATGGGGTTATCGCCCTTGTACCGGCAGCTTGTGAAACTTGCCCAGTCTGGTGACCAGCATTCACACGCGAACAGCCAGGAGGAGAGGATGACTTATTTTTCTCTTCATTACTTTTAGGCGATGGCACTTGATTAGAGTGAGTGGCGGCTCTGGGCGGAGATACCCTTGCCACTTCGGCGTAGCTTAAAACCGACGGACTTGCCGGTTTGTTTGTAACTGTTTTGCTACCAACCGACTCAGCAATATCGGAAACATTACTGTTCATTTTAGAGTTAGAGGGAGCGGTAACTTGTACCAACGAATTAGAATTGGAGAAAGCCAGAGGTGACGTCCCACACGCTACGCTACGAGTAGAAGATGAGTGTCCAATAAAGCGACACTCATCAAACCTAGACTTAATGAGCTCAAACTTTTCCCACAAGGAGCCGAGTATTCTACTCAATTCCGAGAAACCATAACGGGTCTCCGTGAAAAGTTTATAAAAGTCAATGTCCCGCTGCCTACAGTCAGGACATGACCATCTTAAGCCTTTAGACGGATCAGCGACTGCGTCAGCAGCACGGCCGAGAATACCGGCACACTTTGCATGACCAAAGCGCTCGCAGAGCCAACAAGAAACGAATCTATCAGAATCCGGGCCTGATTTCACCCGACAAGGTATATATAAACACTCCATGTCCTGTCAAAAAGACAGTTGTGGATTATGAAGAAAAGACACACAAATCACTGAAAAAATCCTGAACATAAAAATTTATCAACCAATTTGTGCAAAACTTCTCTGTTACGTTGACACTGTAACGAGAGATCAATAGCAAAATAAACTACAAACACCGAAAAAATAACCAGAGAAAAAGAGAGAAAACAAAAAAAAAGAGAGATTTATATCAGAGCTCAAAATTTTTGTTTGCAAAAATCCAGTGAATCAAAGCGTAAAGAAAAAATATTTCTTTTACTTTGAATTCACTCACTTTCTTCTGAAAGTATATTATAAATTCACACACTATAAGGCAAAATAGCCACGAAATTCAACAAAAAATTAGAATATTAGTTGCCGAAACAAAATATAGATGACTATACCGCGCGACAGAGTTGCCAGACTCTCCTAGCCTCCACTAGTTCGTTTATGATTCGGGTCAAATTTGTGAATGTCATTAGCGTATCAGTCATTAGGCGGTCTACCTCAAACGTTGTCTCCATATATTGCCTGGCAGATTGTACTTTGCATGTTTGCGATATTTACTAACATTTCATAAAATTTCAGGGTGCGCTCGACTACGTCCGCAGAGTCAGTGAAGATCCCTGAATTTATTGACGTTTGGACTGGCGTTGGGATGACAGCGTCGCAGAATTGGAATAATTTGGCGACATCTCCTGGTGATAAAACGGTTTGTACTACGTTTCTCCGCGCCCATAATAAAGAGCTGGGAGCGTTTCTATGCGAAAGTTTGGCTTGTACGTTCAAGTCGAACAGTTCGTTATTTTTTGCTTTATTTTTAATTGCCTCCAATAGGTCTGCTCTTTTCTGTTTGCATAAGCCATCGAGCAACTTTTTACTTCTTCCTTCTCGCCCGCCAATCTGTCGCAGAAGACAGCTCTAACGTCTAAGCCAACTTCTTCTGCAAGCTCGATATTGGCTTCTAGTTCATTCGCATCACCTTTATGATTAGTGATGGGCTCGGCGCTCAGCATTATATTAAAAGCCGTCAACAGGCTTCGGGCGGCGAAGGATTGAAACGTACTCCATCATATTCCTTTTCTTGTGCGTTAATCCGCAGCCGAGCATACTGCCTTCAGCTCGATTGTAGACGGTCCTTTTATTCGTATAAACTTCGACGAAGTGTATCTATACTATTTTCTCGAGAGGAATCAACTTCCTCAACTTTAATCCCGGATAGCACCTTGATCGTTTTGCTGGTCATCATGTACATCGCCTTAGATTGTTAATACATAAACAGCGTCTGCTGTTTTCAATATCATTTGATAAACTTCTTTGTCTAAGATCTGATAAATTTCTTTGTGTAAGTATTTATTTCCTCTGCAACGAATTCAGAACTTTCGTACGTTCATACGTTCATGCCATACATTCATTTCTTCCTTTTGATAATTTTCACAAAAATGAACTAGAATAGCGTGACTGTCCGTTGAAATCAAATCGCGATCTATTAATGTCGGAACAGTGTGAGCAGGATTTATTTGACAGAAATAAAATTATTAAAAATAAATAAATCAAATTTACCAACATGGTGAATTTGTTGTTGGTTTGTTAAGATTAAATGATGTAAGCCAATACGAAATGTGGCTTATATGTCCAATTCAAAAAAATTCTACAAAAATCTTCAGATACTTTTTTTGCAGTATTTGCGTCTGTGACTATCATCACAGAAGGCAATTCAGTATTAGAACTTTTTTCTAACCTCTTTGAAATTACTACGTAACTGCTCTCTCTTGAATAAAGTTATTTTTTTCAATACTATATAAAAAATACTATAAATAAATATATAATTCAATCAACTTTTTCAATTCCAATTCTTTGTATAAATAATAAAAAATTAAAAAAAAAATAGACTCACGTTTATGTTCAAGTGACCAGAAAAGCTATTAGAAATATTTTGGATAAACTTTTTTTATTCTTCTTGATGCATTTCACTTTTCAATTTTATTCTGATGTTTTCAATTTTTTTTAAATAAATTTTTTTTCCATTTCGCAATTTTCAGCTTTAGTTACTTCACAAGCTTGCAGAATTCGGGAGGGATCTAAGCTTTACACAGGACCCGCCGACACGTCTATGGGACAAGGACTTTTATGTTGAAAATAAAAAAAATCAGTTGCGCCCACTTCAAATTCCAACCATCTGAGAAAATACAAATTCCATACAATTGAGAATGTTTGAATAAATTTCTTTACATGTATTGTGCCGATTTAGAGAATAGGCGTATACAATTATCAAGAATTTTTATTTCTGCTTGCACTTCAGTAGAAACTTCCTTCACTTGTAACAAAAAAACCGTTAGTTGTTTTTTTTTGTAAATGACAAAAATTAGTCCATTTTTTGTAAATGTATCAAAAATATTACATTTTATCATGCAACAGAGACGCCTTCAGTGTAGTGGTAACATCGTGATAACAAGAAAAGACAGAAGTGTAAGGATTGTTTAAAAGTAGCCAAACTATGCCCAATTCAATAAAAATGAATACAAAAAATATGTTAAGAGCGAATACAAAAACTTTGTTAAAAAAGAATACAAAATATATGTTGAAAACCAATACAAAAAATTTATCGAAGAAGTCAATGTGTATAAAGCTGTTTTATATTTTCTAAAAAATCGCCAAGAGCTGAACGCGAAGAAAAGTCAAAAGTTATGTGCTTATGCTTTTATTTTAATTAACAATTAGAATGGCAGCTGATTGAATTGGGAAAAAACACGTTTTATGTATATCAAAACTTTGGCTTTGCCAAGTGATTTAAAATTACAGATGAGGATTGGTTTTCCGAAATGAGGTGACATTGAATTGAGGGGTTTTAAAATAGAATTTTATTTTGCACAAATTATAAAATATCTATGCAAATTTGGTTTGCTCATAGAATACCTTTGACGAATGAACAATCTATAATGACTAATTTTCCGTTGTTATCATTTATACTTTCGTACTTTTGTCTGTAAAAGCGCTAAAATGGCATCATGCTTTATTTGAAAAACAAAAAAAGGAGCGAAATTACAATATTTATAAAATAAAAGGTGAGTTAAATTAAAATATCGGATGTGCTTGAAAAGAAAATAGAAAACACAAGAAAATTATGTGCCGCAATATTTGGAAAAACTAAGAATTAAAATTCAACTACGGTTTGTTTATAAAAAATTACCAAAATTGTCGGCGCTGATGTAACCGAGAAAGTGTGCTTTAATATTCTTGGTGAAATTGTAAATTTTTTGTCATTGTTTTAAATAATAAAGGAAACCATGTGGTATATTTCTGTTTTCTAGGCGATATAAGAGAATATAGAAATATTTTAGAATAAATAAAATATATCAGGCAATAACTGCGAATACATACGAAAAATATGCTGAAATTGAATTTAACTCGAGCGACATTGTTCAGGAAACTACGATCGCAGGTGACTTTCTTGAGCACTAGCCAAATATTACAGGATATTCAACCCTTAAGTAAAGATAAGGTAAATTTGGCAACGCCGGTAGTTGTAACACAGCCGGAACGTAAATTCAAAGAAGGTCAGGAGTATTACGGCTTTGAGTGTGTGCGTTGCGAGCATGTGCCTGAATTCGGTATAATGTCTTACACGTTTCGCCATTTAGGCACGAAAACAGAACTGTGGTATTTAGATCGCAAAGATCTAAACAACGTATTTTCTGTGAACTTTCGTACTACGCCATTCGACTCAACAGGATTGCCTCACATATTAGAGCACAGCGTACTTTGTGGTTCTGAAAAGTATCCAGTCAGAGATCCTTTTTTCAAAATGCTTAATCGTTCGGTAGCCACATTCATGAATGCCATGACCGGCCCTGATTATACCATGTATCCCTTTTCGTCGATGAATGAGATTGATTTTCGGAATCTTCAAAAAATATATTTGGATGCTGTTTTTAGGTACGTCAAATATCTAAGACATTTAGATATTTTGTTTTCTTTTAATTTGTTTCGCTAATTTTAGGCCTCAATTAGCGTATTTGGATTTCTTGCAAGAGGGATGGCGATTAGAGCATTCGAATTTACACGATCGTAAATCCGAATATGTAATCAAGGGTGTGGTATATAATGAAATGAAGGGAGCTTTCTCCGAAAATGCTTCAGTTTTCGGTCAGAACCTGTTGAATAATTTATTACCTGATCACACCTACGGTTATGTATCGGGCGGTAACCCTTTAGAGATACCAAAATTGACACATAATAATCTGATAGAATTTCATCGAAAATATTATCATCCTAGCAATGCGCGTATCTACACTTACGGAGCATTTGACTTGAATAAAACATTAGAATACGTTCACAAGGAATATTTAAGTAAATACCTGCATATCGACAATGCATATAGTCGTATACCAAATCAGCCTCGATGGGAAAATCCTCGCAATGTACACATTTCTAGCCGTTTTGACAACATGGGAGCTCCATTTGAGAAACAGAATCAGATTGCAATTGCCTTACTTATGTCAGATGTCACCAACATACGCGAAACGTTTGTGCTGTATGTTCTGTCGGAGCTATTGGTGCGAGGACCCAATTCGACGTTTTATCGTAATCTCATTGAACCAAACTTTTCTGGCGGCTATAATCAAACCACCGGATTCGATCCACAAGTGAAAGATACTTTTTTTTGTGTAGGTTTACAAGATTTGAGAGTAGACGATTTTGGAAAGGTGCAGAAAATTTATGACGCAACTATTAGTGAGGTAATGGAAAGAGGCTTCGATGAGAAGCATATTGAAAGCGTTCTGCATAATATAGAATTATCCCTAAAACATCAGAGTCCTCAATTTGGTTTGGGGTTATTATTTAACTCAACACCATTGTGGAATCATGAAGGCGATGTCGTCGAAAATTTAAAGGTATCTAAAATGATATCTAATTTCCGCGCGCAATTAGAGGAAGATCCGAAATTTTTGCAAAGGAAAGTTGAAGAGTATTTTGCGAATAATACACACAGGTTGACACTGACGATGTCGCCGGATGATATGTACGAAGATAATTTCAAAGCAGCAGAACTGAATTTACTGAAACAAAAGGTCATATCATTAGATCCTGCGAAATGCACTGAAATATATGAAAATGGCTTAAAACTAGAAGAAGCTCAAAAGGCTGAACCTAATGTTGAGATATTGCCCTGTCTACGTTTAAACGATGTAAAAGATTCATTAAAATTACCACCTTTGAATGTATTAAAAATAAGTGAAGTGCCCACACAAATGTGTAATGTTCACACAAACGAAATTTCCTATTTCAAATGCTATTTTGATGCTACTTGTTTAAAACAAGAGGAAGTCCTCTTGATACCATTGTTTTGCAACGTTATTAACGATATGGGCACCGAGAGCTACCACTACAGGGAATTTGATAAACTTGTCTTATCAAAAACTGCTGGAATTGAATTTAAATTGCATTTTGCTGAAAATATTTACGATAACAAAAGCTACAACTTAGGAATTTTGATGACTACTCATGCGTTAGACAAAAATGTGCGAGAAATGTTCAGATTGTGCAAAGAACTGTTAATGAACTTCAAATTGGATGATAAGGAAAGAGCAAAAATGCTTATAGATAATTACATATCTGGTATTTCAGTGGGAATAGCTAATTCGGGTCACATGTATGCTATGCAATCTTGTGCGGGCCTTATTACCGATTCCGCAAAACTAAAATCGATGTTAGCCGGCGTGGAACACATAGAATATATGAAACAATATGTCCGCGATCATAGTTGCGCGGAGATAATGAAAAGGATGGAAATTTTGGGAAGAAAATTGTTCAGTAAGATGGTTATGCGCACCGCGGTTAATACTTCTGAGCAATTTTATCCATCATTTATAAAATATTACGAGGAGTTTTTGTCGGACATACCGAAACAAATTGTGAATAAGGTAGAGACTAAGGTTAATTTGTTGGAACCAAGCTGCCAGCATTTTGTGATGAATGTACCCGTCAATTATTGCGCCAAAACTATATTAACTGTTCCGTATACTAATCGAGATCATCCAGCTTTAAGGGTGCTAGCTAAATTTATATCTGCCAAGTATTTGCTGCCCGTAGTACGAGAGCAAAACGGCGCCTACGGTGCTGGCGCTAAAATTGGTTCAGATGGTATATTTAGTTTCTACAGTTACCGCGACCCTAACGCGATAAAGACATTACAAGCCTTTGATGAAGTTTATAAATGGTTGCAGGATAACGATAGCATACTAACAGAACAAACCTTATTTGAAGCGAAATTGGGTGTATTGCAACAATTGGATGCTCCGATTGCTCCTGGTAATCTCGGTATTGATTTCTTCTTATATGGTGTGTCTCAAGAAATGTTCTTCAAATATCGTACGCGTATGCTTTCCCTAAATTTAATTGAACTTAGGCAGGTCATTAACAAATACTTTAAAAATTCTCCATTGCATTACGGCAAATGCATTCTAGGACCGGAAAATAAACAATTGGAAGAGCAAACAAAACTCGCATGGAATATTATTAATTAAAGGACATTACGAAGTTCTGTTACTTTATCATGATTTTTTTGTACATTATACGAGTCCGCGCATTATTTTAACTTTGTCTTCTTTTTTTATATGATTTTTATTGAAAAATGTTGTTATATTTATGAGTATAAATATGTTGTTAAAAATGAGAAAAAAAGAGAAAGAGTAATCCGCCTGCTACACGTTTGTGCACAAACACACAGATATTCTCCTTTTTGTTTTCTTTTTAAATTGAAGAATTCTACAACCGCTTATGCAAATTTTTTGCATGCGCCTAATGTTGATATAAGGTAGCTGAGTCACGTTTTGAGGGAATAAAACGAGATTAATATTTAGATTTCGATTATTCCGTACAATTTAAAAATAAAAAGCGAAGAAGAAAATTGCACGCCTCGTTGACAAATGCTCTAATATAACATAAACGGCAAAAAGTAAATCTTTTCAATAAACTGTAAAGGAAAAAATGGAAAATTCCTAATTTCAAATTATTTTATGAGATTTTAGAAAAAGAAAAACGAAAACGATAACAACCGCTAAATGTTATTAAACTTAAACTTTAGATATAATAAATATAAAATAACAAGTAGACAATCTTAAAAGGTTGCGAAAATGCTGTTTAAAAGACATGTAAAAACACTATAATAGGCCACGGCCCGCTATTCATATAACGACCGTTATTCATATAACGACCAAAATCACGACGATCATTAGCGCTTGTCCTTGGGCCAAAGTGCGTCAGTATAATAAATTTCATTAAAACATTGCAAAGATTGCGGCCTGTAGTAGGCAAGAAAACCCAACGGATAAACGGACTGATAAGCTTAGATCGATATAATAAAAGATATGTCTGTCTTAAATCCTTCTGGATGTTGCATACGTCCGCATGAACTTATATACTCTTGTACCACAAGTGGTGCAGGAAATAAAATATTTTCCTTCCTCAACAACTTCGAGTTACCTTTCTCTCTCTCTTTCTCTCTATATCTCTGTCTCTCTCTCTCTCTCTCTCTCTCTGTCTATATATATATATATATGCTACCAGAAGAATGTTTACAGCAAAGATAACACAGACGGATCGACGATTTATGTTTGTAAGAGAGAGAGAAGAATATCTAAAGCATTGTAGCTCCCTAGGAAGGGAATTGAAAGCTTTTGTAACTCTTGCTTGAAAGGATTTTGCCAAAGAGCAATCAACTTGAGGAATCAACAGATGGCTTTTGCGAATTGACGTCCCAAAAAAAGAGATTATAAATTCCTTCTGTCCCTGCCGTGGAGCATTGTTTATTGCGGAGATTAAGCAAAAGTATAAATTTAGTAAAATTAACGAAGGAATAAACTAGAAAGACTAGAATCTAATCTCATATATAGTCTTATCGCCTCAAGGACAATATATATCTGATTAAACTATTACATAATAGTCTTAATTTCTTCAGGATAAAGTGAAAGTGACTTAATTATAGCTTTGATCTTTGAGTGAATTCATATATATATATATATACATATATACATATAATATATATTGAGTTAATTGTTATATATAAGCAACATTTACTAATACTACGCGAAAAATTGTTTATGTTCGTTCTATAATTGAGCATCAAATTTTATTGAGATTTCTGTGTACGTTTCCTCCGTAATAAGAGCCGTTAACTGAGAATTCATTTAAGGGAAAGAAATGATTTTGTCTTTTATTTTTGTTATATATTTATTTTATTTATTCCACTTATACTAGAAACTCAACTAAACAAATA